GTAAAACATGCCTCATAACGTAGAAAAGAAAGAACACAGTCTCACACACACACTCACACTCATACTCTACAAAGAGGGTTAATGTTAAAAGGAAACCTTCAGGCTGGTTATTTCATAATTCACAGCAAAATAGAAAAGAGAGACAAAATCAGCAGCATCGTTTATAAGCCCTAGAAAATGGAAGTTTCCAAGCTGTCATAAATAAGGATGGAAGCATTTGCCAAGTCAGAAATTTTGCCAAGTTTGAAATCCACTCAATCCTTACATCTTGGAGCTCAGAACGGAACACCAGCCTTTTGGGATTTGTAATCATTTCTTCTCAGCGAAACTTCTTGCTATTTATAAGGAAGTAAAAACAAAAAGCAAAAAATACAATATGGAAAGTTTTTAAAAGGAGCTGGTTGGGAACATTGCAGCACGGTGCGCATCGGGAAGGCAATAATGGTACAGATGGTGTATGTACTGGGATTAAATTCCTATTTAATCAAACAGGGTTTTAAGTATTCAATTTTCTGTGTGTGTGAGAGAGAGACAGAGGGACAGAGAAGAAGAATTATGTCCCTCCTTTCTGTCTTTTCCTCTCTTTTTCTCTCTCTTACACACACACACACACACACACACACACACACAATCTCTCTCCTATGCAAACACTCCACCCAACTGATTTTAAATTTTTAATGTGTGAAAATTAGAGAGAGGTCAAAGCAGATTTCTGTGTGTGGTTTGGCCTGGGAAACAGAACTAGAGAAAAAGAAGAGAATAATTTTTTTTAAAGAGAAAATAGGTAACAAAGGTGGAGACACTTTTCACCCATTTATACTGGGTCAAGAAGAATCAGAGCCACCAAAACGAAGAGCAGAGGTCTGATGGCCATTGCAGAATTTGTGGCCATGGGATTCCCTAAGAGGCGAAGGAAAAGCACGAGCCTCAGAGCAGCAGGGCCAGAAGCATGGATTTTATAGACAGATGGATCTGATTTGTGTGACTTTGGGCAAGTTACTTAACTTTCTAAGTCTTTGTTTTCTTATGCATAAAGTATGAACCATCAGGGCATCAGTGTCATAGATATTACCATCCGACCACAGCCCACAGCCCATGAGGCCAAAGATGGCATCTGCTCCTCTTATTGTGGTATCCCCCAGGGCCTGGCTCATGGCCTGACCTATAATTGACACAATAAATATTTACTAGGTTTTGAATAGACCTGACATAAGATGAAACAAGATAATGAGGAATTTAGTATATGTCTCAGTTGAGGTCGTGTCAAGGAAAAAGAACTCACCGCAAATGGTTTAAATGAAGAGGTGTAGGGATGCTGTCAAGAGGAATGGGCAGGTTAAAGGAACAAAGAAGAAACAGTGAGACTAACCGCACTGGGAAGCCCTTCCCCTCCATGAAAAGAGACAGAGGAGGAGAAAAGGTGGAACCCAGCCCTCAGGACCATGCATGTGCAGGGGTGAGCCAGGGTATGGCAGGGGTAAACCTCCTTGGTGGGAAGGGACAGACATAACCCCTCAGCCCCCCCCTCCATCTGATACCTGCCACCCACCTCGATGGTCAAAAAACCCTGGGAGCCAGCACAATACCACCCCAGGAGTAGAACATTCAACAGTGTTTTGTGAAGGAGGGTGATAGAGAGGTAATTGGCCTCCCCCCAATCCAGGAGCCTAAGTGCAGAGAGAACATCTGTCAAGGGAGTCATCTTTGCAAGCCTGAAGCACCCTCGTGCATGGTATATTAGGTCATATAAAAACCAGGAACACCCCCTGAAAGGTAAAGCAGTGCTGATGACTCTACTTCCCACCCTGGCTCAAGTGACTTTATCAAAATTGCATTAACTTACCTGAAGCTGCTTTCTAATCCTTTAAGCAAGAAGCTGTGGCCTACATTTTTATTTAGAGATTCAGCCAGGCTAAACATCGTATGATGAGAATTATTAAAAAGAAATGAAAAGGTGTCAAATAAACACAGAAGAGGCTTTTCTTTTCCTCTTGGGAAACCCAATCAATATTTAAAAAGGTGATAGGAGGAGAATTTCCTGTTCATTAGCTTAGCTCCAGGGGCTTATGCTGTGTGACATGGGACTTGACCAAATGACTGGAAGACCAGCGCATGCCCTTGGCAGTCTCTTTTGGTCACTGACTGCCAGACAGGATATTTGGGGATCCAAGTGGAAACGTGACTGCATTACTCAGATGCTGCTCTGCCTTGTTGGGTTTTGGAGGCAAGAAGTTCCTCGAACCTTCTCCACCACCTTGTTCCAATGTCTGGATGCTCTACAGGGAGGTGGCAGGATGTGTCCTCAGACAAACTCTCTGACTCCCACCCCCACCCCTCACTGTCACTCATCAGAGTGCTCCAAATAAGCTGGAAGGACCTGGGTTCGAGAGCCATGAGAAAATTCACTTCAGAATAATCAGATCCAATAAATCTGTCTTCAGTTACAATGGACAAAGCAAACATGTGCTGGGTTGTCATTAGCTAATCAGCAAGGAACCCATACTTGATGTAACTTCTGTGTTTCACAAAGTAATGTTTAGAAAGCATATGCCAATTCACTACTGTGCCACATACTTGTAAGTCAAGAGCTGCAAGGGCTTCATTAATGGCATATTTAAATAATCCAAGGTTTCCTGGGGCGTCAGGTGCCTCCCTGGTGATGAAGGTTGACCTTACAGTTCTGTTTTTTTTTACAACAATCATTTCTGCTCAACCTCTCATGCTGGCAGGAGTGATCACCGGACACTGGCATGGCCCTGAGGATGCCCCAGATACCTCACTGGCCTCACCCTAGTCCCAGCCTTGCTTCAGCATTGGTATAGGGTAGCTGCTTTAATCTCCAGCTATCTAGCCAGCCTGCTAGAATTCAAATCCTGGTGTTACCACTAGTTAGCTAGGTCACCTGGACCAAGTTTCTCAATCTCTCTGATCCTCAGTTTCCTAAACTTTAAAATAGGAGCAATATTAGCATTAGCTAATTTTGAGAGGATTGTGAATTAATCCATGAGGCACTTAACACAGTGCTGGGCATACAGTGAGAAACCAACCCCTGTTAACTAGTACTACCACTTAGATATTGTAGTCAATCTCACTTTACAATGTGTTAGAAAAGGTGGTAACAATAGTAAAAGTGTCTTAAATTAGGTGCTGGTAAGACTTCAGTACCACTTACTTAAAATGATTTAAGAAGAAAAAAGCCCAAATGACAAACATTTTTAAAAGAAATGAAATTGTATCACTTTCAAACATGAAGTAGCTCCAGCAAGGCCAATCATGCATTGCCTACTGCAGCTATTATGAGAAACTACCTCAGGAAGTAGAAAAGAATAATCTAGTTATTTGTAGCTCATTGCCTGCAAATACTTGTTTCTAAGGCTTGAGGGAACTTGAAACAAGTCTTTTCTTTCACACACTCTCTCAGCCAATTCGTTTATTTTTATTCATAGCCAAAGATTTTCAGATGGATGATTTAAAAGCTAAAGATAATGTAGACCCCTTCCAAATGATCAAAAATTTGTAATTAATAAAGTGAGAAGAAAAGAAGGCAGATCATATTCGGGATATGACCTGCAATGCTTCTTCTTCCAGAATACTCAAACTATAGAGCATCATTCAAACTCACTAAACTTTTGTAATATAGGTCCAAATAAACTCTACCCTCTTATTTTATCAATATCAAATCTGAAAAGAATCAATGTGCAAGAACTGCCTGGGCAGAGTGAGGGACCCTAAGAGGGGAATCATTATAACTCCTGAGACAGTTTCACAGTCTGGGCCACATCTAAAATGACCCAGAGAGGGAAGTTCCCTTCCACTGGACTCCATGATTTGCACCCACACAATCACCATATGGACAATATGTAAAAATGAGTCTGTGATTCTGGGGCATTTACTGAGGGATTCTCAAGCATGAGTGTATACACAAGTCCTTCAAAGTATTTTATTAGCAATGTCAAGTGCCCCCCACATGCACAGTCTCATCAAACTCTCATGAGAGCCCAGTGGGTAGGTGCCATTAATATTATTGTCATCTCATGAGGAAGGGAGCCATGAAATATCTTTCCCAAGGTCATTAACTTGTGAATATAACTGGGATTCCAACCTGCACAGTCTGGGTTCAGTACCCACCACCTCAAATTATTACACAACCTCCAAATGGCCAAAGAAACCTGTTTAGGAGGGCATTTAGAAAAAGTATAAGTCACCAGAACCAACCAGACTCTTAGAAGAGGTCAGTATACTTGGGTTGATGAGACAGCAGGCCCTTTTGGATTGGTTTTTCCAGTCTTTAGGCTCCAATTTGGTGCAAAATCCTTTCATGGTTCCATGAAGATGAAAGCAGGCTCAAATGAATCTGAGATTGCTCTTAGATCCTATTCTAAAAGGAAAAAATGAAAAAGGACAAGCCTAGGGGATGGAGACAAGAAGACTGTGAAGTGTGGACACCATGATAATGGTCATAGTTCGATGGCATCCTATCTCTATGCCTGCTTGTCTTCCTCTGTCTCTCTCTCTTCCATGAAAGCACAAGTCATCATGTTTATTTGGCTACAAAGTCACTTAGGATGGAGGGACAGAGCACTGAGTGTGCCCTCTTGCTAGGACCTGGGTCATTCCAAGTTCTTAAAATACCAAAGGACTTTCCCACAGAATGTAGGTTATTGGTTGTTTTTTTTTTTTTAAATTCCCTTAAACTTTTGTTTGTTTTCTAGGATTGCTTTTTAGCCAATGAAAACATATCCAATGCAAGAATCAGTTAACAATAAATGTATTTCACATTGATGGAAATTGTAAAAGTCCCTTTTGGGGGAGAAGAGATATACTCCAGGATCTATAGTGGGTTTGGGACTCCCCCAAAACTCTCGGTAATGTTTCTCACACTCTTCCCTCTGACACCTTTAACCTTGAGCACTGCCAATGCCACACGGGATGATGGTATGTGTTTGAGGAAGGGAGGGGAGGTATACAAGGCCCTACACAGAATGCAAGACACATGGAGATGAATTATAAAACTTTATTGGCTTGTTAAAAAATGAATGAATTCAGCAAGTACATTTATGATCTATCCACATTGTTAAAACAGCATTTAAAAATAAAATAAAAATGATTATCCATTATTTACAGGAAACATGAAAAAATGACTTTAAAACCTTGGAACATTATGGGGAAAAATAGGGCATGCTTATGATTCACAGACTGCCTATGGATTACAGCAAATGGATTTGAACAGGAAGTGAATGAAACCCAAGGATTTGTCTTTCTCTGGAATCTTTTGCTAGTTTTTTTCCCCCCTTTTCTTTCTTTCTAGCTTTACTGAGGTGTAATTAGCAAATAAATTTGTAAGACAGTTAAAGGATATAACGTGATGATTTGATATTCCTACACGTTGTGAACAGAATCTCTTGCTCTTTTATACTTGATTATGCTCCATTCATAAGTAGAAAAATAAAGGAGAAAATCTCTCTTCCTTCCTTTGCCTCTCATACATTTTCTTTTCCGTGAAAACTAAGACTTTTGATACAACCAATAGCAACCTACCTTGAGTGGTCCACTAATGACCATTCCAAGGCTCCACTGCAATATTAGCCTGAATTAAACCCAGAGTGAGCTCACCGTCAGAATCAGATGGCCGGGAGGTTCTCTTGTCCCTGATGAAACAAGGAAATGGACTAACCCGAGTGGAAAGCTGCCTTCTGTGACAACTGTTTTCATGTCACTCTCTGGGTTGGGAGTTCTGTTCACTTAATTCCATCTGGCAGCACCCCACAGAAAACTATACTCTTGCCCTGTCTGGGAGAGTCCTTAACCTTCCCAGGTGCCCTTGAATAAACCGGACATTGCTTGTGGGCACTGCAGGTGTGTGAACACAGCAGAATTCACTTAACGAAATGGCAGTCTCTGTCCCAGTTTCTTTGGAGTCCAGTCTGCAGGACCCCAGGGGACCCCACTGACCTTGGCTTGACAGGAAAGGCACAGCCCTCGTGGCTGGATGGAGCCCCGTCTCCCAGTGGCTGTCCCTCTGCATCTGGTCTGGACAAGGCAAGATGAAACAAGCATCTACTGCTGTGTGAGGGGAATTAGATGAAAGCCAGGGAGGAGTTCTAGACAGAAAGTATGAGAACAGTGCAAGAGTGCATCATCTGCTCCGCGGTGGCATGACAGTAGTTCACACTCCATTCTTGTTTGGCCCCACTTTGGATGAACAACAACAAAAAATCATGTGCAAAGCAACCAAAAAGGCAAATGGAAACAAACCCTCTGTCTGTCATGGAGTCAGGTTAGGTGGCGAGAGAGAGAGAGAGAGAGAGAGAGAGAGAGAGAGAGAGAGAGAGAAGTCGGGAATTTTAAGCAGATCAAGAGCAAAGATAGAGGAGAGACGAAGCAGGAGCGCATCATCACGTGTGCTCTGGCACCTGGCAGCGAGCTGAATTCCTGCCTTGTTGTCCTGGAGCTGTCTGCTTCTCAGGCTGCCCAACTGTCACAGGCTCTGCTCCATTTGAAGGAGAGCCTAGAGCCCTAGCTACTCTGGGGGACCTTCGGGACTGCTGGAAAAGTTGGAGGCAGAGGCCAATACCCCTCTGTGCTCTGTGTTCTTTCCAAAAGTAGGGGGCACAGAGGAGAAGGAAACTCAATGGGTCAAAAATGAAATGGTCCCAGGCTGGGGGACCAGAAGTGACAACTCTGGAATTGACTGTCTCCAAAGTATGTGGGGATTCTTTTCTCCCGTCAGGAGACGTATCTTTTCTGGCCTCAAACCGGTGGCTCCGGGGACGTCAGTGGGCGTTCCTTACTCTGTCTCAGCTGCCTCAGAGGGTCTCAGTTGTACCCCATTCAAGACACAGGGCCTGACCCACACCTCTTGAGGTGGCAAGCCTGTTTTCCATTTACCAGTGGCCACATAGGTACAATGAAGACCCTTGGATGGGCTGTGTGCTTTCCCATCGAACCTGGCTACCCCAAGTAGGTCAGGCGATACGGACACTAGTGAAAGTCAGACACGTCAGACAAAACAGGAGAAAGGACTTGCTAGGTTGTCTCTGGCCACTCAGAGGTGGGGCCACTTAGGGATGGAGGGAAAACAGTGCCATCGGAGAGTCCCAGGCAGGGACAGAGGCCAAGACCCCAGCTAGCGGAGGTCACAGGAGTGCCCCAAAGGTAAGTGACATGCCACAGATCTCTAGGGTGCCAAACCCAATGGCAAGAAAGCTCTCCATGGCCTTTCCAGGAAGTGCGTTTATGAAGGAAAGATAGAGGGAAACAGAGAACAATGATGTTGCTTTAAGACAAAAGTAACAAACTGGCAACCCACAGACATGTTTTGTTGGCCTACATAACGTTTTTAAAAATAACCGAGCCAACTTTTTAAAAATAGGGACATTTCACATAAAAAAAAAAAATTCCAGGTTTCAAGTTTCTCTTAAATAATCAGAAGATTTGGGAAACTGGGGCCCCATTCCCGGGAGGCAGGAGTTGGCCAAGGCTGGGTGATGGCTGCCCGCCTGCAGGGGTGGGTGTCCACTCACCCAGCACACGCCCTTGACGAAGGGCACCTGCCTGGTTCTGAAATGCCAGGGCCTGGTTGGGGGACAATGGACTTGATTTCAGCAAAAATGCTGCCTATCCTTTTCTAATGCTGAAAAAAAATACATGATACATGTCATTAGGAAGCTGTAAAAAGATTGTTTGTAAGGGACATAAAAAAGCAAAAGATGAAAGAGGGTGGTCTAGAGGATAGAAATGCGAAAATATGTCACTGACTGTGGTCTTTGGGGATTAAAGAAAAATGAAAAGCAAGGAACACAAGAACCATATGAAATAATTTTCTAATAGCCTGCTGTTTTCATCGTTCCCTAGGAGATGTCAACTGCTCTTTGATATATTAAATTGCCTTATCTGTCCACTTCTCTCCGTTTTAAAACAAAAATCTACCCTGCAAGTCTTCTAGCTGTTGAGTACAAATATTCTTTTTTTTTTTCCTTTTGGCTCTGGGATATGTATAAAATAGTTCTTAAACAATGCATTGCCTTTTTCTGGTTCCATGGAATAAAATATAAAAGGTTTAAAAAAAAACCACAAAAAAACTTGTACCGAATGGCCGATATTTAAGAATGCTTGGTGTACTGACAGCCTCTGCTCCGCTCTCAGCATGAATTTCCTCTTTCTTTCAGGGTTCAAGATTTCTGCAATTAGCTGGCCTCTTTGTAAATCAACAACTCTGGGAGAGATCAAAATCTAAGTAGTGACAGGAACTGTCATTTAGCAGTGAGCAAGAAAATGGGAATTCAGAGAATATTCCGGACCCCCCCGCCCACCCCCCACCAAGGGCCAGCTGCTCTCCCACTCAAATGTGTCTTTGGAAAGAAAACGTTTGAGAACAAGCAGCCTGTGTATGCTTGGGAGAAACTGCCCCTCTCTGAGGCATGGGTACATGGGTACGGAGGAGCCAAGGTAAATGCTGTAATCCATAGGACCCTGTGAAATGTCTGTATCAAGCAATAACATATTTAGTGGCTAATGTAAAAGATACAGTATAAAATATTCATCATGGGTAATCCTTTTCTATCAAGTGGTGCCTAAATGGATCCTGGTTTATTAAGATTAATGCCTTGGTTACACGGGATGCAAAACAATGTTTCCAAACATGTTGGACTAGTTAAAAATCTATAAATCCTTAAAGCTGAACTGCAAAACTTGAGTAACAATTTCCCCCCAAAAAAGAATTCTTTCAAACGTCAATAAGTTTCCAACCCAGCCGTGGCCACTCTGAGCATGCCTTAACACCAGGGCTGATCTTGTTTTCAAGCGAAATGCTCCAGGCCTGGCTCTGCCGTGCCCCTAACAAGAAAGGGGTGAGGTGAGGTGGGGCGAGGGCAGCCCGACCTGTCTGCAGGCCAGGGATCCAACCTAGCAAAGGCTGAGCAAAGCATACAAAGGTCACCTCGATGGCCGAGTGAGTGAAACAGGTGTCTGTGACAGAACTAAGGCAGGGATGCAGGATTCTGTAGCTCCCAGGCTACCCTCTCGCCAATGAGGCTGGGCCTGATAAAGCACATACTCATTACCTCTGTGCTGCTGGGGTCAGGAAGAGCCTTCCTGCCCATGAAAACCAGCAGTAGTGTAGTATGTAGTAGGGGACTATCCTTCTTAGAATATGGTCTCCTGCTCCCAGCAGGCCAGCCATTCTGCCCGCAGACCTTTTCAGAGTAGAAAAGCTGCAGTTCTGTCATGGGAACAGCATGAGATACTGCGGCCTTCTCACTAGGAAACTTCTAAAAAGCAGGTGGATCGCAGGGGGCAAATAAAAGGACATGTGCACCATATGTGTCTATTTCACTCTTGTAGTTATTCTGAAACTGACTACGCCTAACCTAAATCTATAGCCCCCGACCACAGAGCTGCTTTTATTTTTTGATGTCTAATAAACTTTAGAAAAATCGTTAGCATTGATTGCATGACTCTGGACCTTTACTGCCAGGGAAGGAAAGAATCTCCCCATGGCCTCACCAAGTCCCCCCAATGATGCCCTTAACTTTCTCAGTCACTGCGTTTCAGACGGAAAAGAGAGACTTTCTAAATTCAGTCTTCATTAAACATCAACAGAAAACATTGCTAACTATGTGTTAAATAGAGATTAGGTTGTTTAGTGTGTTCTTGTATCTGTCCCTAAACTTAGATTTTTTTTTTTTTATTTTGTAAACTTTGCAGTTCACCTTTAATGAACAGAAACAATAAGAATCAATACATTTCCAGTATGGTCAAGGAGCACTCCTTTAAGAAGAGAAGCATAATCCAATGGAATCCCATTTCAATTTTGTGTTTGAGCAATTGTAAGAACAAGAGGGAAGCATGAATTTAAAATGTTTTCTTGAGCATTTGCTTAGCTGCCTGCGAGCTGCCTCTGCAGCAGCAGTGCGCCCCAAACACAGCTCACAACAGCCAGCCGCAGGCTTCATGCAGGACCTCCTGCAAATACCACCCACATCTGCCAGAAAACCCCAACTTAGCGGCACCTCCTGGGAGAAGCCAATGCCCGTCCCAAGAGTCCAGCTTACAAGGCAGCATCAACCAACAAGCACCACAGCCCCTTTCTCTGTCTTTTTCTTTATTTCAGCTACCCATCCAGTGGGATCTTATGAAACAAAACAAAACCTAAAAGAAACACAAAATAAAACATAAGTCATGCTCAAAACAAAAAAATCAATGAAAATCAACATACAAGTATAATCACTTTTAAAAAGAACATAATAAATAATCAAAAATCAAGACAACATGGAATATGCTTTAAAACATAAAAGAATATATAATCACAGAACAGAAATTGGGAGAAAAATGTGCATCTCATTATCAAGCCACTTAGTTTTAAACTTAAAACCGATTTTACATGGCACAGAAAATACAAGAAAGAAATGCAAAGGATTTCTGCACACAGCTCCACACAACAGTCTCAGATGTTAACATCTTAATTTAAGGAGGAGAAATCTGTGTACAACATAGATGAGCCCTGGAAAATTTTTATGTACAGGAGAAAAAAAATAAAACTCAACAACAAATCTTAACCCAAATCCTGATTTTCCTTCCCCACTTAATTTTGTCAAATTACTTCTAAAATAACTGGTTCATTACTCAGCAACCAGATCAAAGAACTCGCTAGCTTTAACTGTGAAATACTGGATCATACAAAGATTTAGATTCTTTTTCAGGAATCCTATTATTAAATAATTCATTGCCTAAATTCATTTAAGTGTTGTACCATATATATATATGACATGCACCCAGATAGATGGAATATCTATTACATAACATGATATAACATGTGGTATATTGCATGTATATATATTGCATATATAATACATGACATATAATATATGTATATATTATGTACATAATATATAAAACATATAATACTTAATATGAATTAATCCTGCAAACATTAATTGAGCAGTGACTAAATAATAGACACTACAGTAGATGACACAAAAATAAAGAAAATGGAGTTCCTTGACCTCAAATACTTAACGCTGCTGCAGATGGAGAAAGAGGAGTATGTCGCTTGTGCAATAAATAACAGCTAATCCACTTGGTGCCAGGCTTTCTTCTAAGGTCTAAATTAGTCCTTTTACATTCACAATAACCCTATAAGGTAGGTTCTATTATTGTGCCCACTTTACTGGTGAGAAAACTGAGGTCCTGTGAGCAAAGCAGCTTGCTGAAGCCCGACAAGCATGGGACAGAGCTCAGATTCTGACCAAGAGCTTATACTCTGTAGCTACCCTGTCACTGAAGGGAGGCCAAGATGCCTCCAACTTCACTAGGAAACCCAGCAAGAACAGAGGAGACTCATTACATATAATTCTGTATGAATCTCCATCAGGTCCCCAAGTGACCAAACAGATGACGTTGTGCTAGAAACTCCCAAAACGTTTTCAGGTTCAGCTTCAGAAGGCACTTTGAAACCCAACCCTCCAGACTCTGGATCTTCCTCAACCTGGCGTCTGGTCTGCCAAGTGCTGGTGTCATCTGCCTCCAGAGCTGAAATTACCATCACCAATCTGTATCATCATTTACAACCACACTAAAAGAGTCTATGGAACTTAATTTCCATGGCTCTTTTCTCTCCCACCCTTCCAAGTCTCAGGAAAAGCACTCGATACCGACGCCAAACATTGCTCATGGATTTAATCACCCACAAAGCACTGAGAATTCAGGAAGCACACAGTGATGCCCATTAAGCATCAGAAGCAGAAATGCTCCTTCATTTCTGACTTTGGTCTCTTTCTAGAAGTTCATACTCCAGGCTAACATGAGCCACGCTGTGACACTTAGAACTAACCAAACATCTTCAGGTTCTAAGAGGGTGGGTCTCAATTTCCCTCCCACTGAAACAACAGGATTAATACAAGAGTCTCAAGCTTGCCAATAAACACAGGAGGAACTTGGTGATATAAGTAGAAGACATCATCCCCAAATCAAAAGATCTGTTGATTCAATATACTACTTTCTCTGAATATTCCATTTTGAAAAGCACTGGATTTTAAAATAATAAGAATAACAACAGATTAAGCTGTTAAAGTGAGCTTTATTTCCTTCCAAAGGGTTTATGGCACAGGGACTCTTTAGAGTTTACTCATGTCAGAGTGTTTACAGCAGGCCCCCAGCCACAATTCCTTTGCTTCTATTTGCCACTCTCCTCTCCCGAGGCCCACCCAAGCTCGTTGTTACAGTTGGGAAACAATTTGCTTTGCTAGATGGCAGCTCTTTGGACCGCCATTCATTCAGGCTGCAACTGCACCCGCCCCTACTTCAACTGATGTCAAATGCCCCTCTTCAACGTCCTTCTGCTTTGCCTCTTGGTGATGCATCCTTCTCCAAAAACCCTACCTCAGTGCCACACACCCATGCCACGAGGGGAGTAAAGCCACCAGAATAGCACACGCGATGTCTTCCTTGTGGGGGAAAGCCAGCCTGTTGCAATGATAAGCCACATGTAGTGTCTGCACTCACATTGCTACTCCTGCCACCTCCCACCTCAAGGAAGGTGGGTCAGACCCCTCTCTGAGACACCTGATCTTCACAGTCAGTTGACTGACACACTAAAGATAGGCCACCAGATACTGAAAAACCAGTCTGATGTCAAGACTTGACTTTTGTATCAGGAAATATATCCGGTACTTCAGATTTCTAAGGAGTTGGCAGGAAAAGTTGATCAGCACCCCAATTTAGCTACCAGGGTCTCATGGCTTTGGCCCACTCGGGTTACAAGAAGCTCAAGAAAGGGGCCCCAAAATGATATAAAACAATAGATCATTATTTTCTCCTCGTGAGGGGGAAAGTTTTTAGACCACAACAAATGGCTGAACATCTTGAGGGTTTAGCAGCCAAACGAGCTGTCTAGCTTCTGAGCCTGAAATATAGATATTTTGACAATGTGACATTCTGAGGGATTTGCAGCATTCCGATGGTGCATGGTAGTTATCGTGAGAATGGCTCCTTTATCAAAAAAACAACAACAGAAAAAACACTTGAGAGGAAACTTTGCCGCTGCTGCTTGCACTAGCTGATCTAAATAAGAACCAGGATAAAGCAGGTGCTGTCAGAAATGTGATGCAAAGTCGAAAGCAGAGAGAAACCCAGGATGTGTCTTGAAACTTCGTCTCTGCAGCTTGCTGATTTTGGATTTGCTCGTTGACCTCTTCAAAGGGATGGACAGGGTGGGGAAGGTGAAGGTCAGTGAAGCACTGTGCTTTCTTTACCACTGGCTTCCGATCCATTTAGATTTATTTACATTCAAGCGTGCACACATTTCCCTCCTATAACTCAGAAGCAATCAACCATAAAATGGCAAGGATCTGCAGTACATTTAAATTAGCAGCAATTTATCTGCAGCAGAAAGGAAAACTGCTGAGTGGAAAAGAAGCGAAAGGAACGGAAGAAAGACACAGCTGTTTGTCTAAAAAAGCAAATCCTATCTCATTTGGAGAATTCAAGTTATCGAACTGCCAACTTGGGCGACCGCATGGCATGGTGCCACTCTGGAGACCGGGTGGTGGCCAGGGTACCAGCAGAGCGGCTCACCTTCATCGGAGAGCAGAGCAAATGTTTTTTGAACCTTCCGGAAAATGTCCACTAGGTAATATCAAAGGATAAACTCCTATGTTCTCCTAACACTGGATGCTTAGAACACAGTGGGTGCGAAGAGCTTTCCATTACAATTTAGACTTGAGCTGGGTGCAGTCCCGCTTTATTTCGGCACTGGGGCTTAAACATCCATTGTCCCGATTTAACATTTGTGGAGCACTTAATATATATTGGTTGTTACACCAACCATCCCTTGCCATTTGCTTTTTCTATTTTATAGGTGATTCACTCAACCCGCATGGGCAATGTGATGTGTTCAAGGTCACCCAAGAATGGAGTGAGGCGGCTGAAATCTAAACTCAGAATCTCTCGGCCACCAGTCTATCTTTTACAGTGGCATCACCTGTGTACCCGTAGCGGAAATGTGCCAACACATAAGCCAGGTCCTGGGGCTTTCTTCTTTGTGCTCATTCCAGAAGCTGCTTCACCATCCTTCAGACACCTCTTTCCCTTCCTGGGGATGTGCTTTGTCCACATGCCATCTCTTGCCCTAAGATCTCCTTCCACCAAACAAGCTCTCCTTATAGAAGCCTTGACCATTCTTGACGATCCAGGCAAAAGCCATTTCTATGAGCATTTATTTGACCGGCCTCTTAACCTCTATGACATTCTATCCTATTCATTCACATTGCCTACCTTTGTACTTTTTTAAACTTTTATTTTAAACTTGTACTTCTGTTCTATCTACTTCCCTACATCCCAGACTATAGGCCACAGGAGGGCAGAGAGAACACGCCTACCCATCTTCTGTGCCAACAATGCCTTGCATGATACCAAGGGCTGAGTGCATCTTGAGTTTCAGAATAGTGATGTCTAAATTTTGAGCTGTATTGAAGAACTTTGAGGTACTTGGTAACAGAACCAAAATGGTAGAGAGTGAATTGTACAAAGCAAGGTAGGATCTACTGTTTCTCACTGGTAACTGGGTTACTCAACTCACTCCAAAGCTTCCTGCAAAAAATCACGTATTTGCTTAGAAGTATATTGAAGGTTACAGTTAGACATGTGGACACCCAGTGCATTCTTCCCGAAGCATTTTAAGCTCCTGGGGAAAAGGTGCTAGACTTAGTTTATTCTAATACTTGCGATGATCAAAACCACCGTGGGTGTTGGACAAAGAAAACTGTTGTCCATTTGTTAGCTAAAGATGAACGACTAAAAATAAATAGCTGAGGATGGTCAGTGAGGCTTTTAAAGCTCTGGTTTGACTTTATAAAATGAAGTTTACTTATGAGCCGCAAGTTAAAGCAGGAAACACAAAGTTCTTGGCAAAGCTCGAATGTGTAAGGAAAGCCAAAGCTATTGCACAATTAAAATTCAATGATTCTAAGGAGAATGTGGTCTGATCAGCAGAGCCTGATGACAAGTGTCCAAGGGCTCAACTGCTCCCATGTCAGGGACTTCACATAGGATGGGAGCAGATCCAGAAAGATTGATGATGTGGCTCCTATCTGTGGAATCACCGAAAAATGCTACAAGTAGAATAGGAAAAATGAAAAAAAAAAAAAAAAGAT